CCCCTGAGGGCATACAATCTAAAAGGGAAGGGCAAGTGATACATAAGGAGATAGCTGTGTGGGGATGAATTGTTTGAGAACATGATGGTTGACTCTAGGCAATCTTTCTTGTTTAACCATTTAAACATTATGACAGGATGAACACTATTGGTTGAGATAATGCATGTGTTAACATGCGCTATATCGCAACATGTTTTCTTAGCCTGCAGTTGTTATGATTTTCTAAACCTGGCAAAGCACCACCTATGGTCAATTTACCCAGCCAATCAGCATCAAGGTGGCTGTGCACTCCGGGAAACCGGATCGGAACACACACAGGAACCATGGGGAACAAAAGTAGCCACCATCCAGAAGGAAGGACAGTGTCAGCACCAATTCAGAGATGAATTGAGGATCTACAGCTGAGTGATACACAAATAAGATACAAACAAAAATGTTAATAGTTAAGGTACTTGAATGTATTTATAAGATTTAACTCCTGCCTTTAGGGTCACTTTAAATACATCTTTACGCGGTATATAGTTGACCTAATAGGATGTTTTTCTTCATACCAAAAATTGGATATTACTATTAAATAAACACACCATGTTTGGTAGCTTCACTCTGTCTGCCTGTTACATTGTAAGAAATATTCCTCTGATTACTACAGGTACGGACAGTTAATGACCTTTCTTGTGTTTTCAATCAAAATAATTTCTCGATAAGCTGTTATTTAGACAACATTCTATGTTTTGGTATAAATAGTTTTAAGACCAGATGATAATATACTGATGTGCACTACATTTTCCATGGGGAATGATTTAATACATTTCCCTATTGTTATTGTCCAAGTGACATCACTGCTTTGACTCTCTGAATTTGTTTGTATCCATGTGTTACTAAGATAATAAAATACATTTAAGGTATTGTTTTATTTACCACATTATTTCTTAGAGAGGAGCTTCAAGGAAACTTAAAGAAACACCTAGCTATGCATTCATTCAAATGTCACAGTGTTTTAACGATAAAATAATTTGTAGTCAGAGCCCCACTGATACGTACCTTAACATTGAGATGATGAACCTGGCTAAACGTGACCTGAGGTGTGCCGTGGTCACTATGGTCAGTCTGCAAAATAAGGGGGCATACTCAAAGAGTAAAATATTATCAGAAGGGGTAAGGGCGGTTGGGGAGTCACCAGGGCAGCCATCAGAAATTTCGGGGGCCCCTTACACAGCTTTAGGCCTGGGCCTGGGCCCCCGCACCACCGCACCACCGCCACACTGAGCCAGTCACATTAGTCTCTGCACAGAGGAGCTTACACTCTAATGTCCTCCCACAGTCACATCAGTCTCTGTACAGAGGAGCTTACACTCTAATGTCCTCCCACAGTCACATCAGTCTCTGTACAGAGGAGCTTACACTCTAAAATTTTGGATATTGTAGTTTTTTGAGGTTTCGTGGACACGTGCAATTTTAAGGCTTAACATGTTTGCTGTCTTTTTACCCTTTTATATTTTACCAAAAAATTTGGTAATAATAAATGTTTTATAATTTATTATACGGGAAAGTTTTTTTTTTAAATAAATTCGGTAATTTTTCCTTAAAGGAGAATTATGAGGTGAGTGATTTTCACTCAGCCTCATAATCTGAGCCGACCTGTGACAATGAAGCTGTCACAGGTCGGCTCAGTAGATCGGGAAGTGAGCGAACACATAGCGGCGTTCGCTCACTTCTCGATCCTGTCACTGCAGAACCGTGACAGGGGAGTGACTGGATTCCCCCCTCCCCGCTCCAATCCTCCATCGCTGACTGGTGGAACGGACGGGGGAGGGGGTGGGTACAGCTGGCTCTGCCTCTACATAGGCCAGCTGTCAATCATGCAGCTGGGCGGATCCAGACATAATTGTCGGGATCCGTTTCAGCTGCGGCGTCTCAGTATATACTGAGCTTCGGGTAACGGGAGGACGCTAGTTTGTGTCCTCCCTTTAACCTTCGGAGAACTATGGGGAAAAGCCCTAACCCCATAGTTCTCCTTTAATATAGTAAATATTAAACACCACCAAACGAAAGCTCTATGAGTACCCAAAAAAATGGTACGAAATTCGTTTCAGTACAGCGTTGCATGACGGAATAAATGTCAGTCAAAGTACCGCACAACAAAGTCCAAATCCCATTCGCACTGCCACGGTCTCAAAACCACAAGGTATATGTGGTGCCCAGGTGACCACACTGATGGCGCCGTGTGGTCACCTGGGCACATAGTATGTGACATTGGGTATTGAATAAACATATCAATACTTTAAAAACCATTCAATGATTTTAATTTAATAAATTGCCGTTTCGGCAATATATTAAATGGGATGTGGGCACTTGCCAGGTTTAAAGATGGCCGCCGCGAGTGGACACAGGGGGGGACATTGAAGGCTCGCACAGCACCCGAGGTTACAATGTGGAGTGTGCGGGCCCTGGCTTACTCCGCTGCTGCGGGGGCCCAGCCGCCTTCAGTCACCTGTACGGCCGTCACCCAGGTAAGGTTTGCGGGCCCCTGAGGCTGCCGGGCCCCTTACTTGAGTGTCGGCCGTACCCCCCTGACGGCAGCCCTGGGTGTCACGGACATACCAACAGGTGAGTAGGGGAAACAGGGGGGGGGGGGTTTAAATGTGTGGGGCTCCTCCCACAAATACGCATAACAAGTTAGCCTGACACATATCATACTAATTTTTTTATAGTTTTCGGTCATCATAGATATCTGAAAGAAGAACTCCATGTATTTAATTTTTTCCAGCTGTTGATAAACTGGGTTTGTAAGATGGTTAGCACAAAGGTTGGTGAAAAGTATTTTTTAACTGCCAGCTCTTTACATACCTGGTAATTACAAAACCACAGAAAAATCATCAATTCATAAAAACTGGAGCAGACAGAATCTGCCCATGACAACCACTCAGCTTCTCCGTTTCATTGTCAAAGCTTATCTGAACTAACTGAAAATAGATGCTGATTGGCTGCTATGGGCAACTGCTCCATATTCTGTCTGTTCCATTATTTATCAGAATTACCCACACTGTGGTTTTTAAAGGACATAATTATTATATGCTGAGCATTACATTTTAAAGGCCATAGGCACAAGGTTATAAAGACACAAGAAAAGTGATTTTACTCGAGCATATATCAAATACTTTAAAATAAGTTATGAGTGATTGATTATTATAACTTTGTTCCAAATAAAAATAGTCCAGTCAATTCATTAAATATCTACTGTTTATTTATAATTAAAAAAAAAACAAAAAACATTTAAAATGGACAAAGGTTTGCATTTGGCTGCAATAAAAAAGGAAAATAAAATGTTAATGGAAACATAAATGTTTGCCCGTACAAAAGTCTTGAAAGTTTTATTCCATTAGAATTATGTACCAGTTTATTACAAGAGAATCCATTGCTAAAAGAAATACAAACTGCTCATTGTTATCGATCAATAGTACTACTGTAAATCTATACAATGCATGCCATTGAGCAAACGTGTGAAAAAACCTCAAAGTAGATGTAACCTCAATCAGAAAAATCTCATAGAAGCTTTAATGTGTCTGTAATTTCAAAAGTTGTTTTCAATATCTTTTACATTTGTAGCTTTCAAAAAAATAATACATGATTATCCTGCCATGAAATTCCTGTTCAAGCACTTCTTGTTGTAAGGTGCTAATACTATGTCTCTCAAACACTCTCATGAGTTGTCATCCTGCCACTTGCACTTACAGAGGAGGCTACAAATGGCTCTGTTGACACTCAGTGGGCAGGTGTGTTACCCTGTTTTCACCCGCCCCGAGAAAATGCCATGCAACCATCGCTGGAGTGCATGCATGAAGTTGGCTAAAAAAAGGGTAAAGAAGATCAGCAGGCAATTGCTTATGATATACAGTGCTTTAGTAATAATTGTTAATCCTATGATGAGAATATACAATCTAATGTGGGTTAAAGGTTCCTAAAAAGAGACAGCCAACATGTATCAGTGTAGGAGAGGACAAGGAAATTAAACATTTACAGGGCCACCATGATCTGTGCACTTCAGAACAAACTGAAACGATATCATTTTATCCACACGTCCATAGCAATAATCTAGTTTTCAACATCCAGATTTTAAAAAATGTTGCCTGCTTTATTGTAGTATTTGTTTGATAGTATTTTTTGCTTTGGTAATTTCTTTATCCAGTCAAACAACAGACCTCTTTCTGGATATTGGACCACCTGTGTTTCTGGCAGTAGCAAGTGAGATGCAAATATGTTCTTGGTGACAATTGTTTGAAATGACACATCTCATTAATGCATTTTGCAATATTGGACCCATAAAATGACGATAATTCTTTAGACCTCTAGCTGGCAAACTATATAAAGGTTAAGATGCCAAGTGCTCAGATTCCACCTTACAGACCAAGAGGTGGTGGCGAGTGGGTCTCAATGATTGTTTAATGATGAACATCCACTTTGCATGTAACAATTCATTTTCAATTTTCAATTCTAGTATTTGTGATGATTGAAACATAAAGATACATCAATACAGCAACCTAAATTTCAAATCCTTGTATCCTGCACTTGGTTATATTCAGAAAACCACTGAGTTGTCTATAAAATAACAGGAATGAATTGGGCCATTTAGAAGGTATATGAAACATGTTTTATGTGAAAATGCACTACAACATAATGCTGTTTTTTTTTCTAACTGTATATTCACTTGAAATGTCCACAACTCTTCACATAAGTTGCTGGTTGGAACTGTGATACCACATATTAAACTTTCACCTTTTTCACTTTTCATTTTTTCTTCAAATAGGATATACATTGACCTCACCGAATGTTCTTTTTTTTATTCAGTTGTTACGTGTATGGGAGCATTTTTCTTCTCTTCTTGTAACTTCTATCCAAAGCCTACTCATAGGTGTGCTGGGTACCCGTGTAATTACACGCATCATGGTATCACAGCAGATCATGGAAGACCAAGATATACCATGCAAGGGTAAAATTAGTTCAGCATCTACATGTGTCCTTCATACTTGAGCAGAAACTGCTCTGTCAAACATGCGTTCTAGGATACGATGGATAGAAGCAAAACTTGGGCGATCGGTGGGCATCTTGCTCCAGCAGAGACGCATTAGATTATACAGCTCCAGTGGACAGTTTTCAGGGCATGACAAAATATTTCCATCTCTTACATAGTAGATGACTTCTTCATGAGCCATGCCATAGTATGGTTGCATACCATATGAGAATATTTCCCATAAGACAACACCATACGCCCAGACATCTGATTCAGTTGTATAACGGTTGTAAAATATGGACTCTGGAGGCATCCATCGGATGGGTATAGCATCATTCTCATTGGCCTTATAATAATCAGCTGAATATATGTTCCTTGAAAGACCAAAATCTGCAATTTTAACCACCATGTTTTCGCTAACCAAGCAATTCCTAGTGGCCAAGTCTCGATGGACAAACTTCCGTTCTGACAGATAGGCCATTCCTGCTGATACCTGACGGGCAATGTGCAGTTGATCTGTGCAAGATAATGGCAATGGATTCATGTCTGACAGTCGAACTTTTGTGACAAGGCTGCAGTGACTTAAGCTGCTTAAAGCTCTAGGGGACCGATGACGTAAGTACTCATTTAAGTCTCCATGGGCCATGTATTCAAAAAGAAGGCACATTGGTTTTCCAACAGCGCATACCCCTGAAAGGCAAAGATAACGTATTATTAGTAATGTCTTCATACCTACATTTAGCCTAGTTTAGGGATTGCTTTACAACAATGAATTTCTTTTGGCATAGCTAATAAAATAAGTTAAAAAATAGATAAAAAATTAAAGCAGACAAACCTTTCAACTATTAACACTTCTACAACAAATTTGTAACAATTGTCAATTTCATACTGACCTAGTTGACTTTCATAATGTAAATAGTGCTGTGCAGTAGTCTATGGCAACAAAAGGTGAGCTGTAACTGTATACATATGTTTTCACAGCAATACAGTATAATATCATGTTATTAAACCCCTAGACATTAATATTTTGACATCCATATAAAAAAGCATGCAGTAACTTTGGCACTAAAAACATCAACGTCTTTTTGCTGTTTTCCTTTGGATGCAGCTCTCCTTTGGATGTTAAAAGATTGGACAGAAGTGGTATAATCCTATAAAAATAAAACTGTACTAAGAAACCAACGTGGACTGCCATTTCTTACCTTCTTCTAAACAAGTATGAAGTTGAACAAGTTGGAGGAAAATCAGAACTTATCTGCACACTTTAAAAAGCATTAAAGCCACTGGACACGTAGTGGCACCATGGAACTACAGTATTTTGCTTCAGAGAGAGGTCAGCAATGGCTGCCTCTATATTATTTCAGTAAAGGTTTCCTTTAAATAGAATAAATTATGTATAAATTCATCTGAGGTTAATTTTGTTATTTGCATTTCATTGTGGTTTTAACAAAAAAAGTATAACTGTTTGCTAACGAGGAAAAAATACAGTAATACCTTGGTTTACGAGCATAATTCGTTCCGGAAGCATGCTTGTAATCCAAAGCGCTTGTATATCAAAGCGAATTTTCCCATAGGAAATAATGGAAATTCAGATGATTCGTTCCACAACCCAAAAATATTCATGTACAATACAGTACTGTAATATAATACTCTACAAAATATAAAAGAAAAATAAACCAATTACCTGTACCTTCGTGGCCGGTGTGAGGGGGACAAGAGAGAAGGATTATTGTGTAGGACGACTTTCACTGTCACTAACAGAATCACTGCAATCTCTTGACTCAATGGAATCTTTTTCATTTCGTGAAACCTTAACAAGGAATCTATCGAATATGACGTTGCATTGTTGTTAAACAGACTCATCGCTCGCACTGCTACAGCCTTATTCGGGTGGCGCTTTTCTACAAAATTTTGCTCTTATTGCAAGACATTTGCTTGTATATCAAGGCAACATTTTTCAGAAATGTTTGCTTGTCTTGCAAAACGCTCTCAAACCAAGTTACTTGTAAACCAAGGTATTACTGTATGTGACCTCAGACTTTTAGTGTGATGACTTGGTTCAGGAATGTAGAGATAGAATACCCTACTTGCCTAATCTGTCTGTGACCTAGCACAAATATGTGTGAAATCTATGTTCACAAATATGTGTGAAACCCATGATTCACCCAGATATGTATGATACCCATGCTCATTCTTAGTGAATCTTCTTTAAAAATAAAGTTTGTGTTATATGATGTCTAGTATGTCCAAAGCTATACAACCTTGAATGAAACCAGAAAGAGGAAAGAATGTTTTAAAAGGGTTTAAAGTTGTTAAAGTGAAACCTCACACTCTTCCAAGCTGAGATGGATTGAGCTTGCATATTCAAAGGCTAGGCTTCCTACACAAATGACAACCATGAAGTTGTTTCATAGATTTATGTTCCGCAATAAAATGAAAAATAAACTATTGAATGGTGCCAAACCTATTTTTCACAACACTGTACATCAGGGGAGCCTATTAGGTCGATCGCGATCTACCAGTGATCGCAATGTCCTGTCTTCTGTGGATCCCCGCTGCTTTCCACCATCTGTATGTAGCGGGGATCCGCGGAAAAGTGAAGCTGCAGTCGGCGGCGGAGGACGGAGCCGATATCACAGCAGCACGCCGAGTGGTGAGGAGAGAGAGAGCCGCTCGGCCTGGATCTGACAGCCGGCAGCTCTCTCTCTCCACACCGCACATGTTACAGCGGCTCCGCCCCCCCCCGGGTGATATGTACCCATCCTCTGTGCAGGACAAACACTGGAGCGATCAGCTGATCACTCCAGTGTTTGTAAATAACTGGGGACACATAGTGATATGTGTCCCCAGTTATGAATGAACAGGATGTGATTTACATCACTTCCTGTTCATTCATGAGATTATCAATGGGGAGAAGCACTCACTACAGAGGATCCTCCCCATTTAGAAACTGGATGATAGTAAAATATTTTCTGAATGAATGGGAAGCCTCTGTGCTTCAACTTCTTTTTCTATTTTAAAAGGGAAATATCAGGGGGCTGTTTAGACCCCTAATATTTCCCTAAAGCCCCCCCCAAGAGTAAAAAAAATATTAAAATAAAAATGAAATAAAAAAATAAAAAAAAAATCCTGGAGGAGGGGCGCTGGGGTGACGTCACACACCTGTTGGGGGGCACTTTTTTTCTTGCCACGTGCGCAAAAGGAGCTGGCTACGGCTATGCTCCCGCGGTGCTCATGCGGCTGCCGGCTGAATGTGTCAGACGCCGCAGACGGAAAGCGGCGGGACACCTCTCTCCGTGTGCAACGTCGGCCACACGAGCACCGCACGAGGATGGGATGACGGTGCCCCTAGAACGCACTGGAATGCAAACCGGCCGACTCCCTGCGTTCAGGGGCGGGGGGTTGCACCTCAACCATGTCCCCCGCCCACAGTTCGATCGCCCACACCCTGAATGCAGGCACATTAGTGTCTGCATTCCGGTCCAGTGTGATCTGCAAAAATAGTGCTTGCATCAGTTTTTCGGATCGCACTAGACTGGAACGCAGGCACTGATGTGCCTGGGTTCCAGGTGCAGGCGATCACACTGTGGGCGAGGGGCCTGGCTGCAGTGCTATTGACTTCAATGCACCACCACGCCCCCTCCCACCCCTGAACACAGGTGTTTTTTCGTTGGTAGGTCTCATTGAGCTCGTCATTTGAAAAGTAGATCTCCAGACGAACAATTGTGGGCACCCATGCTGTACATCATGTACCAGACCCTGAGATGAGAATATTAGCCTGTCACACTGCTTAGGTGGGCACTCTGAACCACGCCCAGAGGAGGAGTGCTACACATGGATTTAGGCTCTATTCACATATAGCGTTTGCTTTTCCGTGCGGAAGACCGCTCACCACGAAAACACAAATATTTTTACCTGCACGGATTCCGCTAATTTGCGGCTATTATATAGTGACAAATGTGTATAATCCACCATATTTGCCTGATGAAGGGACCTCTTGGTACCGAAACGTTGCATGGAAATGCTGCACCATTTAGTCAATAAATAGATTGACTGGAAGCTACATTGGAGTGCGAGTGACTTTTTTGGTTTATTGTAATCCACCATAATATCGCGCTTTTACTAATTTGTGTACCGCACGGCTGCCACAAAAGTTAGAACAATGCACATTAAAGTGCATTGTTTTTGAATTTTACAGCGGCTCCGTGCGTATTCGTACGCCCAAATACACACAGACAACCGTGCGGTCCGCAAAATAGTCCAAGCGTGATTTTTTTGACGGATTCTGCATGTTCATAGTTGTAGTAATAGCCACAAACAAGCGGAATCCGTGCGGATGAAAGATTTTAGCGTTTGCGTGCCTTGTGGTCTTCCGCATAGGAAACGCAAACACTATATTTGAATGAAGCCTTACAGTTAGACAGCCAAAGTCCCATTCCGTGTAGAAGACTTGCTATGTACAGCTCTGTCAGCACTGATTAGCCCAGTGCTTGTAAAATGTAAACAACATTTGATACACTGTAGTACCTACAGCTTTCAGAAGGTGCTAATTGTAATGTGTGTAATTTATTTTTAATTTTGACCTGTAAAACTGAGATACATTTCATAGAAATGCATGCATAAGGAATCTTTATGCTCGGGAGAACTATATTCAGATATACGAAATAGAAGCTCCTTCTGTCCCCTCCAACAAATGTATAATTTGTTTGGGCAGCCTTTTTTTTTTATGCAAAACTGACACTGCTGAATGGAAAACTTTCCAGGGAGATGGATAGTTAACCCACAAATGTAACTTTCCAAGATGTGTGATTACTAGTAATGGTGTGCAAGTACTGTATATGATATACCTCATTAGATGCTGTTTAATGTTCTTAAGGGGATTGACAAGGATAACGTTATGATTACAAAGGACAGCTGACCACAAACAACAACATGCACATGATCAAATTGAGTAGTAATCCTGATTGTTGACCTTCATTGATGATATATTATAAAACTGACAGCTGCAAAATCATCAAATTTCAGCATGACTTTTTAATTTGTTCTGCTTCTTGCAAGCACCATGAAATGTGACATTGCTGAATCAATCTTAGTCATTAGTTATACAACGTAAAAGCTGCACTCTACTTAACTACACAGAGTGGGTTACATTTCCACCACCATCCCCATTATAAAATGTTCAAACACCCTCATTGTGGGATAGTTACCAATTTTAAAGTAGCAATGATTCTACCATGGAGTTTTCTGAGTCTAACAAAATCATCATGCAAAATCAACCTTACAATCCTGTAAATAAACTACAGTTGTATACCAAGCTGTTTCTTCAGTAAGCTCATGATACAACAATGAGGGGAATTTATCAAAACTGGAGCAGACAAAAACTAGAGCAGTTGTGCATGGCAACTAATCAGCTTCTCTGTTTCATTTTCAAATCTTATCTGAGAGAGAAGCTGATTGATTGTCATGCACAGCTGCTCCAGGTTTTTTCTGCTCTAGTTTTGATAAATTCCTCTCAATGTGTTTTTTACCTTTATTAATTTGATGAAGCACCTTCAAAGGCGTACACACGGGGTGTGCAGGATGTGGCTGGGCACACCCTAATAACCTTGAGCATAGGGTTGCCACCTGATTCACTCGGAGAGTCTGGGTTTTGAGTCCTGTATGTGCTGTGTCTGGGTTTCAGGCCAGCT